TTCTACTACCTAGTAATGTCATAGCCTTATAATGTGTCAGTGTAACACACTGTTCACGTGTTTATGGTAATGCTGGTGTAAACAAACTTACTGTGATATCAGTCATATAAAAGTATAGCATATACAACTTATATACAGTATATAGTACTTGAAAATGGTAATAAATAACTATGTTACTGGTTTATATGTATTCACTATACTAATTATTTTAGAGTGTACTGCTTCTACATATATATAAGTATATTATATATACAGTTAACTTTATGTGTGTGTGTGTGTGTGTGTGTGTATAAAGTTAACTGTAAAACAGCCTCAGGCAGGTTCTTCAAGAGGTATCCAGAAGACAGCACTGTTATCATAGGCGATGACATCTCCATGCATGTTATTGCCCCTGAAGGCCATCCAGTGATACTAGATGTGAAGGTTGAAGGCAGTGATATTAATGATCCTGACCCTGTAGTCCTAGGCTAATGTGTGTCATTTTTTCTTAGTTTTAAACACAATTGTTTAAAAAAATTCAAAAATTTTAATTTAAAAATAGAAAAAAGCTTAAAGAATGAGAATATATAAAAGAAAACATTTTTGTATAGCTGTACAAGGTGTTGGTATTTTAATCAAAGTGTTACTGTAAAAGAGTCAAAAAGTTAAAAAATAGTTTTATAAAGGAAAATGTTGTAAGCTAAGGTTAATTTATTATTGAAGAAAGAAAAAAATTATAAATTAGTGGAACCTAAGTGTACAGTGTTTATAAAGTCTACAGAGTGTACAGTAGCATCCAAGGCCTTCACATTCACTCACCATTCACTTGGAGACTCATCCAAAGCAACTTCCTGTCCTGCGTGCTCCATTTATGGTAAGTGTCCTATGCAGGTGTACCATTTTTTATCTTTTATACTATATTTTTACTATACATTTTCTATACTTAGATGTGTTTAGATACAGAAATACTTTCCATAGCGTTACAATTGCCTGTGGTATTCAGTATAGCAACATGCTATACAGATTTGTAGCCTAGGAGCAATAGCCTATATCCTATAGCCTATGTGTGCAGTAAGCTATACCATCTAGGTTTGTGTAAGTACACTGTATGTTGTTCACACAAGGACAAAATTGCCTAAGAAACACAATTTTGTTGTTAAGCAATGCATGACTGTAGTTTTTATCATTATGCCTCTTTCAACTTTGAGGATATTTCCCAATTTTCAGCCTTCCCATTACAGCTCATTTCTACTACTCTTAGCCTACTACTCATCCCATACATCATTCTTTTTCTTCTTATATTCATCCAGTATCAAGTGTGGGAATCAGTGTTTGCCTGCCGATGCAAACGGAGACCTGAATCTTAAAGCAATCAGTTTATGACTGTCAAAAAAGTACCTAGTATTCAGAGCATAAGTCTTCTCTAGGGATCAAGCTCAAAACCAACGGAAAAAATAAGGTCTCATGTAGAAAGAGTTGGGCTAGAAAAGATGGAGTTAAACTTCATGTGGTAGCAAAGTTTGGGTTGAGATGAATAACTTCATGTGCTGTAAAAAAGAAGTTGTAGAGTATATTCTAGTTATTTTGCTGAAGTTCTGTAAAATGGGTGTGAGCCACTTTTTCTTCCTGTCTTTGAGATCCAGTGGACCTTCTCTGTGATCTTATGCTATGATTTCCATCCCTTTCGCAGCTACTACAGAAATTATTTTCTGAAACAGGGGTCTACCAACCACAGCCCATGGGTTACATCACACCCACCACCTGTTTTTGTCAATAAAGTTTGATTTGAAATAAAGTCACACCCATTAAATTACTTATTGTTTCTGACTTCTTTTGTTCTACAAGGGCAGAGGTGAAGGTATAAAGCACTGACTGGCCCTTTGTAGAAAAGTTTGCCTGCTCTGAAAGACTCATTAAATAATTATAAATATTGCCTTTCTTTATTTTCTTTTCATGTGATTTATTCCTCTCCAGTAAAGTTGTGTGCCTTTTTGAGTAGATGTCATGAATTGTGTGACCTGGTATCTCTAAACAAGGCCAAGTAAAGTAAACTTTAAACAATAAATATTCAAGTTCTAGGAATTTAGAAATTATATATCTTATTTATTGTTGTACCCTCAGTGTCTTGCAGTGTGTTGAGTGCATAGATGTGCAAGAAAAAATGTAAAGAAATGAAAGAATGTTGGTTACAGAGCTTGGGATATAACTAAAATATTTGATTTTAAAGACAAAATCAAACTATACATACTGAGTCAAATCCAATGGCAGATGCAAACTGTACATTAATATATAAGGAAAAATCAAGTAGTCAGCTTCAAACATGGAGTCTAGCATGGGTCATTCAACCATTGAATAGATTGTGACCTATTATAGTTGAAGATAACTGTCTTTATAAAAATAAGCATTCTGATAGAGGATATTTACTCTAAATAGTAAACACTCTTCCACATATTTTTCTACCAACATAGTGCTGATTCTTTCAGACAACAGTTTCCATGCTTGGTTCCAACTTAAGACTAATTTTGTCTCCAAAAATATGCAAAGCCCACCAAGAGAGGACTTAATTGCTAGGAAAATAGTGCAGGTTTTTTACTTCTTAGTTGCTATTTTTTTTTTTATTACCTTGCCTTAGCTCATGTTATACCTTTTCTCATACTGATTTACAGATCTAAAAATGAAGCTAAAGGAACATATTCTGAAGTCTGGAAATGTGGAACCTGCTGATTTTCTAGAGGAAAACTCAAAACCTGTAGATATCTGTTGACTGTTTAAGAGCTGTCACATCAAAATAAGAGTCAATGTGGCATTCTAGGAAATAATTTTGATGGGGTGTTTTCTGTTTGGCTTTCTAATATTATTTGGCAAAAAAAAAAATCGTTTTACGTGAAAATTATAGGCCAAGATGGATTCTCTGATGCTTTTGTGCTGTACCAGTCTACAGCTAGGTAGTATCATGATGCTCTAAGTGTTGTTTCACAGTCCTTTAGCAAATGTTCTAACATCTACACTCCTCCTTCCCTGCCCACATTCATTTGGGCCACTTCAGCTGATCACCTAGCAGCTGTTTCAGCATCCTGCTGTCATTCATCCTCTACATGTATCCAGCCCAGTGGAACTACATTAAAGTGAGCAGGGCTTCACTACAGGAAGATTGGCTGCCTGCCAGGACTTCATTATTAGTGATCTTTCTTATTGCTCATGTTTCATAGCCTCTTGGGTAACACTGAATCAGGTTTTTAAGAAATTAGATAGAGAGTTGTGGCAAGCCCACATTTCACTGCCTACACTCTGTAGATGCCAAGCTTGCATGGTGACAAGTACATCCCCCGAATGTTTGTGCAGTTAACATGGTATTTCAATTTCTGTGCACTAAGATGATTTGGCAAGAGTGGTGGTGACTGCACCTGCTTAACAGAAGGAAAATGCCTCATCACAACCCCAAATAACATGATGTTATGCTATTATAACATCAAGGATGTTACCACAGCATATTAGTATAGAATATTGGTACCTACTTTTTCCATATCAACCAAACATCTATTTTCTGATTGCTCTTTTTAACAATCAAGATGTGCATTTAGTATGACAAATGTGCATTTTAGTATGACAATGCCTTTATTTTAGTTAATAGCTTCAACTCACTGGCAAAATTAGGAAAAAAACTCTGAAGAATATGAAATTAAACAAAAATACATTTGGAATTCATGTCTTATTTTTCAAATTCATGTCATATTTATCATTTCAAAACCAAAATGAGTATCAAAAAAGCAGAAAAAAGAAGCTTTGAAGTGCTTTCCTTCTTTGATTTTGGCCCAGTAGGAAATAGATTCATAAATGGGGATTATAATCTCGTTTTATAAACCAGCTTGCCAAATGATCTCCTAGATGATTACATCAGCCAGTAGATTTTGAACAATGTTAAATATGAAAAATATTTAAGCATTATTCACTCTAATGTTCCCATATTTTAAATGAGAAAATAAGTCAAGCAGCGTATTAAATGTCGCACGCTTAGTTAGCAGCAGATTTGGGCCTACAATTCTTTTCATTTTACTCTACCACTGAAGAGATATGTTCTTTTATTTTAGACAGAAAAAGCCTCAGATTTTCTCACCACCATCCACTGCTTCTCCCCATTTTTTAAAATTCCTACCCAAAATGCCATTTTCATTTTACCCTGGAAAGCTTTATTGTAAGTAAAATGGAGAGAGGAATCAATGAATTTTACTTTTTCTTAGTGTTTGGCTGAGCACACCATGAAAAGTCAACAAGATTTACTGACTGAGGCCCAGGCAACTCAGTATACTTTCTTGCTTTCCTTCAAGAATCATAGAGGGCAAGCATAGTGAAAAGCATATGGTATAAAAATAAAAGCACAGGACAAGGGGTCAATAAAACCTGTATCTAAGAGCCAGGTCTTTTATTAACCATATTATCTGTACACGTCTGAATCTCATTGACATCCTGTGTAAAATACAAACAACACCTATCTCATAGAGTTACAAGTTTAATGTAATGATTCATTCATTTAGAAAAAAAAAATATTTTTCAAGAAACTACTATGTATTAAGGATTATTCCAGATGCAGGGGCTATTGTAGTGAACAAAACAAGTACAACTCTATCTTCATGGAGCTTTTATTCTGGTGTAGAAATCAGACAACAATCATAATAAATCTGTAAATTACATGGTATTCTATGATGCAGTAAATGCTATGGATACATTTAAAGCAGAGTAAGGAGGATGGAACATGCTGAGGGAGGACTGGTGGCCTGAACGTAGAGCGGTCAGGGTAGGCTTCAATGAGAAGGAGGCATTTGCAGGAAACAAGAGGCAGATATCCAAATGGATACCTGGAAATTAATATGTTCAGCCAGACAAAATATTTGATATGAAGACCCTAAGGCAGAAATATTCCTGCCCTACACTAGGAAGAATGAGGGGGACAGTATGATTTGAGTGAAGTGACAGAGAGTACAGAAAATGAAGTCAGAGATAGTGCGAGACTCAGGTCACTCAGGCCCTTGAGAAACTGTAAAGCCATTAGTTTTACATTGAGTAAAATAAACAATTAGTGATAGAGTTTTATCTGGGGCATGATATGGTCTTATTAGTTTATAAATGTTTCACTTTGGCTTCTCTATAGACAGTAGACCAAGCAGAAGTGAAGGGAAAATGAAGGTGTTAGAAGCAGGGGTCCAGTTAGGAGATGACCAAAGTCATTCAAGAGAGATATTATATCTCAAAAGAGGATTGAAGCAGAGGCATTGATGAGAAGTATACTAGCTATAGTTCCCCTCAGTGTACATGGGGCATTGGCCCCAGGTCCCTTCCCCATACCAAAATCCACAGTTACTCAAGTCCTGAATTCTGCACTTCAGACACTGTGTATACAAAATGTCCCATAGAGGCTGGTTTTGTAACCTGCAATACTATATTTTTCATTTGCCTTTGGTTGTGGATATGGAACTCACTCATATGGAGGGTCAACTACATTTATTTTTTTTAAATCAATGTATTATCTGAACCCTCACAGTTCAAACCCATGTTGTTCAAGGATCAATTGTACATATTTCTGAAGGTGTAACCAAGAGGAATTCCAAACAGATTGGATAGAACTAGAAAGACAAAATTAATTATAACACCAAGATTTCTGGACTGGGAAACTACAAGAATAGAGCACCAGAAGAATTGAGATCAGGTGTTTGTGGTAAAATCAGCTGAAGACCAGGAGTTCAACTTGGATATCTTGAGTTTGACATGCCTATTGGGAAACCAGTAAGAGATGTTAAGCAGACATTATATGAAGGAGTCTGAAGTTCAGAAGAAGTATAGAGGCTGGAGATATAACTTGGGGAGTCATTAACTGATAGATTGCATTTGAAGTCATATGAAATACTTGTTAATCTGATTATTCTGTTTTTCCCACCAGACTGTATGAAGTTATTATGCTGCATTGTATGTTTTGTAATATTGCCTGTGGGCTCATTTTCAAAATAACTAAATCTGTGGGATTATATTGAAGTCATTAAGTTAGAAAATATTGATTTGAAGTTGTACAGACCTCAGGAGTAATATAAACTCAGGTTAAAACTAGGACCAGCTTTAGGTCATTAATTTTTGTATTTTACATTTGTTTATTTTTATTGAACAGAAAGTGATTTTTTTGAGTCACCTATGTACAATATTGCTAGAAAAAAAATACCCTTAAGTAACATAACCAGTAAAGTAGCTCCAACAAATTACATCAAACACTGTATCCTAACGATAGTGACATTTAAA